GAAAATTACTCGGGTCGTTACAATGCTCATTGCAAATATGGTATACGATACCTAATGGACATTCAAGGGGTTCTATATATAGAGGATGAAGTAAACAATATATAGAGGAGCGTGACTAAACAATATAACAAGGTGACTGAAATGTAGTATGAAAACTACAAATGGAAACAAATGGCAGCCAAGAAATAAAGTAGAAGAGGAATCCGAGACAAACGATTTTCACTCTTTCCTTAAGACAAAATTGCCCTGCGACGGTGCTCACGGTTCACGACACTTGTCTCCCAAGATACAATTGATTCAACTTGTGGTAGAAGCATTTCAAACCACAAGTCACGGCGAACTTTGACGGAGTTTTTCTCTACAAAAAAGAAAACGATTTTGAATGAATTTGGAAGTGATTTGCAAGAGTTCTTGTGCAATGCTCAATGGAAATATGGTATAGGATACCGATGAACGTCCAAGGGGTCCTATATATAGAGTTTGAATGGTGGTGAATGAAGCGTTGTGCCCCAAACTCAGCAACTCTCGCAAAATATCTTACCATTCACTGTTACTAACTTGTCGCCATTGCCTCGTTTGAACTTTGAACGATAAAAACAGTGACTTCGTCGCTGGATCGCAAGCTTGTCGCTCGAGCGACAGTCCAGTGACACACTGAGGCAAATATCCAACAATTTCTTCTATTTTCTCCCCAACTAGAGTTTCAATTTCTCATTCATCCGAAATCGATTCTAGATTTCAAATATACCACGACGATGTACTCCACGAGTAGAACAATTTAGTCTATTTACACTTATAATTTGACCATCAGATCAAGTCCGAATATTTGGCCAAAGTAGACACGAAAGTTACTTTTTCAAGTTTTTATTTTATTTTATTATTGACACTTAACCAAATTTTCAATCTTTTGAACCAATTTCAAACATATAATGAAAAATATGTGATTAAAAAATAAGGAAAAATTTTGAATTTGCGTGTAATATTATTTTAATAAAAAATGTGTGGTTGAAAATAAGTATTAAAAAAATAAATTTTGAGAAGAATGTTGATCAAACTTATTTCTTATACAAGTAATTTTATTTTTAATACCTCAATTGTAAAATCCACGTTGAACACACGAGGAAAATTACAATATTACATATAACAAGAAATAAATAAGAATCAATTAAAATCTATTAACACTAAATAGAAGAAATAAATTTTATAATGTGTCAACAAGGTAAATATGGGATTAAATGAAGAATTCAATATTTGGTATAAATGAATTTGGTGTCACACTATTCATTACACTATACTTGTGGTATCATTGGTTTACTTCAAATATAGCCTACCATTGGAGATGACATTTTCTTATATTTTATTAATGAATTTTTGTCATATTAATAGCATTTTTATTTTATAAAAATCTTTTACACAAAAATGATTTTTATTTTAGACTGCGAAAGACTTGTCACAGCTTTAATGGGATTGTCGATTCTTTTAAATAAATTCGTGTCGAAGGTTTATAAAATTAAAAAATATATATTTTTTATTTATTTTCTCATCAGAAAACCATTCTACTGGAAAACGAAAAAAACAATGGAAAAAAAAAATAGTGATAAACAGAGATTGCTCAGTGATGGCTAATGGATTTATGGTTCGATTCTGCCAGCAGATATCCTCAACCATACTCAGAAGAGGGAGCTTTTTAATCCTCATAGCAATCTCACTTTTCCCAAAATTAAATTAAATAATTAAAAATTAGTTAAAAA